AAAGACTATCGGGTCGTTTTCTTTCCTTTCTACTCTACGCGTATATATATATATATATATACGCGATGTAAACTTTTTTGGGGTCAATCCCTTTATGATCCAGTTGATCTGTTCTTATTCACAGAGTGGTGTGATTTTTGCGTTTTTTGTATGCCAATGTTTCATATTTTATGCTAAAATTTATAGAAGGGTTGTGCGACTCTTCTACAAACACCTTTTGTGAAAAAAAAGAAAATGTAAGGTTGCCACCGATGAAGGGAGCTCTTTTTTACTCGTTATGAGCTATTTATTTTGTTATCTTTGCTATTCGCGTGAGGAATGTACTCCTGCGCTCACTCTTTACTAAATAGCATTTGGAGTTTCCCCTTTCTTGCCCACTGTGTTTCACGCTGGCACATACCAAATGTGTTTCTGAACATCCAGTGTGAATTACCATAAAGGAGCGGTACATTCTCTTCACAGAGTAACAACGAAAAAGGTTTCATTTGGCTTATTTAGCACTGACAAATTCTTTTACAAGAGAAACATTTTGTAATGCTTGACAAAAGAAGTTCACACATAAAGGGAGAAGCCGTTTACTCTTCTCGTTCCAATCACAGAGTTCCACCATCCTCACCGTCTGCGGAAGGGATCGGAGGAATCGACGGCGATGGCTGTGAACAGCAGGACCGTGATGCAGTGGGTTCCCTGCATTCATCGATTCGAAGATCTTGCGGGAGCCCTTCATACAAGCGTCTGATTTCCGAGATTGAAAATCGACGTGCTCGAGAGGTACGCAAGAAGCGTCGCTCCCTTCTACATGAAGAGGCGGTAAAACGGCATCGACAGATTTTTTTCATTGTTATTTTACTGACGATTGCTTTATGCATCCTGTGTTCCGGCTATCGTTTGGTAACTGAGAGATTGTAGAGTGCGATGACAGAATGGACTCCAATGCTGGTATCAGGATGGTGTTCTGCGCTTAATGTCTGTCCTTGAAAGGCGTTGTTTGATATTCCGATGGTCAGATAACGCTATTTATCGAATCGGGCTCAATTACTTAATCCGGTGAGCAAACGTGCCTGCTGCTTTAATTTGTTTTATTGTGCCCAATGAAATGGAAATTGTATTTGTAGGGCTAGCTGGGTTTGAAATTCAACTGTGTCTGTGATTGTCGCAGATCTGAAAGTTTCATTCACGAGGGGTTGATGTCAGTGCAACGCTACGGATACGTAGAGACGCACAGCAGGAGGAATAGTGATATTCTAACTCACATGACTAAAGCCCTTTAAATATTATAACCATCTTTACCAATAGCAATATGCCCAAGCGGATATTCATCATGATCCTAAAGATGCACACATAGCTTGATATTTCGAACGTACAAGCGTAATGTTGTGGAGCTTGATGTCTGACATGTCACACCGGACTCGTCGACAAAGCCAGATATATATTTCTGTATATATGCAAAGTCACTTGATTGTGCCGACATTTTATCGACACGGTATAGCCTTTCAGGTAATTTTTTTTGATGGATTTCTAGCCATATAATGGCGTGCTATAACATTTTAAAGGTAAGGAGGTGTAATTTTGTTACATTTCCAATACTACCAGGGAGGGAGGGAACCTAAGCAAGATTGAAATGATATCCAAGCTTTGATATTGCGAAGCCCGAGACCTTTTCTTTTATTCACGTTTCTTTTTCTATGAGAAAAAAAGCGAAGGAAGCAAACTCCAAGTGCTTCATCGTCACGACACCCAACCCCTGGAGTAAACCACATCGACAGGGATGCCCTCCTCTCGAGAAGCTCGAGAGCAGTGGGGGAGCATCGTGGATGTGGTTGCGCGGATGGACTCCACCAAGCCCTTACCGCGACAGTATGTTATGACTCAATACTTGCCGGATAACAGGTTGCTACCACCAGAGCTCGTCCGCGTGCTTCAACAAGAGGACGGCGACTTTGACAGCGAAGCTGCGGAGTGGTTTAAACAACAAATCAGCGACGACGAAAGCTTTCACGCGCGGCCGCTTCGACCGACCTTTACGAGGGATACGGCAACCATCATCGCGGCCGGGAGGGAGGAGGCGGATCATTCCGATGGCGCGGTGAAGGAGGGTCCTGATTTTCATCGCGTCTATCGTTGTATGGGCGGAAGCGGGAGCAGTGCGATGCGCGCGAACGCCACGCTCGGGATCTCCTCACAGCTCACATCTGGCTTCATCGATTGGCGGCGCTATGAGCTTACGCACCGTCAACCCGACTTTATGCCGATTATCCTCGTGCCCTTTTCGATCACCTCGCCGCTCCAGCTGCTTAACATTAAAAGCTTTCTCGAGGAAGGCGATTACGTCGATCCACCCACGCTCTTCGTCGATGCGGAGACCGGCACCGCGAACATTCAGGATACCAAGCCGGAGTCTGTGATCGTATCCCCAGGACCTTTTCTCGATAAGGAAAAATACACGGTCGTTTTTAGCCACTTCCGCGTTCTCGACAACCCGGATAAGGTTCGGAACTGGGAGCATGTGTGCGCGTGCATAGTGGATGGCAAGGAGTGGCAGCTGGAAAAGTACTTCCCAGGCGAACCATCTGCACGTCAGCCAAGTGAGTTGTTTTCACGCGTACGCGGCTTTCTGCCATATTTTGAGGAGGATAAAATCCCCAAGGCGTTACGACAGTGGCGTGTGCAGCCTCTTATCTTGTCGAGGCGGTTGTTGAAAAAGCAGCAGCACATCAAACAAGCTTTTGTGTTCTGGGAGCAACTGTACCTATTTTTAGATGAACACCCGATGTTTAAGCTTTATAACACTAACTTGGACGAATGATACCCCTTGTATACGCACCCACACGAATGTGTGTGAGAGCTGACGAAAATTGGGAGGGAGGTGATCGAAACCGGCGTGAAGAAATGCTCCCTTGGTGTATTTGTATGTGTATAGCTGTGACGGATAGATCGGTTTGCGGCTATTAGATGAAATGCAGTACATTGATCTCAGGTGTGTTCGTATAGTGTAATGGTGGTTAGCACCAGCCTTCTTTTCTTCATTTTTTTGAAGCTGAGCTGCTCAATCGGACTAGGGTGTTATTTCCCGATTTAAATCTCCAAAAAAACAAAATAATAATAATAGTAATGATAATATATTTACTAATATTATTATTATTGCTATTTGCACATCTCTATAATATTAATCTGTACATGCATGGGCGAAGGTAGACAATATGGCCTACTAAGGCCTCGTCGTGAAACTGTTTATTTTGAATGTTTTGGTTTATCGAGATTATTGGTGCCTCGTCTTTCACCCTCCAATACGATATATGGTTATATCAATAATCTGCAAGAGGATCGTTTTTTTTTTTTAGGACTTTGAACTTGGTGAGCAGACTAATTAAAAAGGAGAAGAAAAAAGCCGTATTACACTATAAAGATAATGTTTCGACGTGTTGCGCGCCACACCTCGTTTCTGACACGTGTGCAGTCCCGCCATACCACCATCCTCTCTGTCCGTAAGGGGGACAAAGTTGTGCTGATTGGGGATCGTCAGGTAACCCTCGGGGAGCGTATCGTCGCGAAGAGCAGCGCCTGCAAACTTCGAAAGCTAAACGACAACGTTGTTGTTGGGTTTTCAGGCAGTACGGCCGATGCCTTTGCTTTGATGGAGAAGTTGGAGAACAAGCTTAACGACTTTCCTGATCAACTCACGCGAGCAGCGGTGGAGTTGGCAAAGGATTGGCGTACGGACCGCGCCTTGCGGCGTCTGGAGGCCTCCCTTATCGTCTGTAGTGGTGAGGAGACGCTAGAAATTGACGGCCAGGGTAATGTTATTACACCGGAGGAGGACGGCATCATTGCGATTGGTTCAGGCGGCACGTACGCGAAGGCCGCGGCGCGGGCCCTCATCGATATCGAGGACTACGACGCTGAGAAGATTGCTCGCAAGGCTATGAAAATAGCTACAGACATCGACGTTTTCAGCAACGGGAATTGGGATGTAGAGTCCCTCACGCGGGGTGGAAGTGCAGCGAAGGAGTCTTCAGTGTCGAGCACTCAAACTGGCAATGACAGCAAGGAGGTCTAGAGAAAGTGATGCTAGTGCGTAATGAAAAGGAAGACAGAGGGAGGGGGGAAGCATTATTAAATAGACTTCACATTCTCGTTTTTCCTTCTTGGTATCGATTTTTTAACGAGTTAACAAATAGAGTCTTAACTTTTGAGATTTCCTTTACCCTTCTTAAGGCTCACATTTAATGTGAATGAATTAGTAGCGTAATGCATAAAGCTTTGTTACTTGATTCATTGTTACCATTGCGTTTGATTTCATTGCATATACTATTTGTAGCTTAATTCATCTTGTGTATGATGCAAGTTTTGGTATCAACCCTCTTGTGTTCTTCACACAGCTGAGTTATCTTTGTTCTTTAGTAATGGTTCTACGTTTCGGTTAGTAAAGGCAACAATAGTCACCCCCCAGGCGAAAGGAGTAATGTTTCGAAGGTGTACCGCAGTAGTCGATTCATTCATCTTTTCTTTCTAAGAGTGATAGGTAGCATGAAAATGGAAAATATAGAATATTATAACGTGGGGTCGTTTCAATCCTTGATTTTGTTTGGAAGGCGGACTTTGAGCATACTAAATTTCCTTTCACTGTTTCTTTTCATTATTTTTTTTAAGGAAAGGATGCTCCGAAACACGTTGCTAGTTTGTTGAGTATCTCTTAATAACTTTTTTCTTCAAAATGCTGGCGGGGTTGATATCTTATCTCTTCGCATAGATTTATGTTCCCGATACTTTGAAGATCAAGCACTGGAATGGTGGGATGGAAAGAAGAGGACATTGACATCAGTTCAATATGATAGCGTCCAACAAGTCATGCCCATCACTACGGTCGATCTAATCATAGCCCTTCCTCTCTGGGCGGTGGGGTCTGTGGTCCGCGTTTTCATCAGTTTCACTTTCTCCCTGAGTGATGAATGATGCGGTTCTTTTCAGTCAAATAAGAGGTACGACATATTTGCCTGACCTCAATAGGATATTTCTATTGTGTCGCCACACAAGACCATATTGTTGCGTCGAGATGCGACTAATGCTGTTCAAATGATCGTTTTCCCGCTCAGAATCATGTTTTGGAAAGAGGGCGTATAAAGTATTTTGTGATTTGCTGTTTTACTCACAATTGGAAGTACACTTAGAACACTGAGAGGGCGTTGGTCTACTTTGCCCAGTGGAAGATTTTCCAGTTGTGGAGTTGCTCACATTCAGAGAACAAGAAGGAGATGCAGAGGAAGGGGGGAAAGGGGAGAGTTATGTCAGCTTGAGGTGAGAGTACAAAGGTGATTTACAATGACGGGCGCCTTTTTCCCAACTTCAACCCTCGTACAGTGAATACATTTACTATTGGGAAACTGCTACTTGCATGGAATGCAACGAATTTATACATTTTGACTATGATCGCTTGGACGATCAAGTTTGCTTTGAAGATGTCTAGACTATGATATCGAAAAAAGTATAGGGAGCGGCTCACTCCTAGTGACTTTTTTCCTTTTTGTCTTATTCGTGATTCTGAGCAAAACGCCTAAATCATTCTTTGGTCCTCCAGTAACGTTGTGGTCGTGAGCTATAGCACTAGTAAAGGGTGCGTTCCATGTCTGCCCAGTATTGTGTACCGTTCGACATACTATGCCCATCTTATATTGCATCCTTTTTTTATGTGTGGCGTGGTAGTTTTTTTTTTATCAACACTGATGAGATCTCATTGTTGTTATTTTTTAAGCACTTTTTTTTACCTTTGTCTTTAAACTTATTATTGGATTCCATCGTAGAATGCCGAAACTATACGAGTACGATGGTTGGTCCTACGAGCGGCTGCGTCAGCAGCGTGGTCGTGCGCATTTTCTTCTGACTGAGCCGTATCGCTACGTGACGGTTATTCTATCCCCGAGATCTAGTGATCCACACCGCCTGTTTTGCATCGACAGTCCGTGCTACCATGCCGCCGGCCCCCTCGGTGAGGGTGATATTGTTGAGATTGAGAATATTCTTTGCATCCGTTGCCCGTGGCACCGCTACCTCGTATCATTGGAGCGTGGTGAGGAGGTTCTTCTGGAGGCGGGCGAGATGGAGTCAGGTGGTGTTGTAGCCAACCGCGACGAGAACTCTGCGGGGTTAATGCTGACGACAGCAGGGGGGCTTGCCACGTCACGCGCGTCGGTCACTTGCGGGAAGGTTGTTCAACGCACCCACAGGGCTTACCTGGACGAATCTACTGCGATCCTGACGATTGAAGTAGAGGACGATGAGGTCATTAGGCGCCACCCTATAAAATCAGATCACTCGGCTCAAAATATTAAGTACGGCGACATGTGCATGCAGATATTCGATATCAAGTCGAAGGGGCTTTCAAACGATCATTCCAAGTCACAGAATACTCTTCGTTTGTCTCCTTTTTAAACACCTTTACAGATGGAGGCAACCTCCCAGAAAGCAAATAATAGTTTCTATTGCATTATAATGTGTTTTCCCCAGTATCACAGTTATATGTACAGTCTTTGTGTGGGGTTTTACCAAAAATATCACTGGTGTTGTCTATCAACATCTGAGCTGTCTAGTTTCGTATTAAATTTGGTGTTTTTACTTGAGCGATGATCGATATGCATAAATTTGAATTTATAATGTCAAAGGTGCTGAGTCGCCTGGATATGCCATCCGGGTACTTTATATTATTACCTCTTTGCGGCTTCTTCAAGAATGTAGTACGCACGAAACCACAGGTCATTTTCTGTTTCCTCCAACACGTGTATATATTTCTGAAAGTGTTTGCTTATTTTTACGACGACCCGTATTATTACTACCAAGTTGCTGATAGCTCAGATAAAGGATCGACCCTAACAACGCGGGTAGAAGATGGAATTGATAACCGTCCGGCGTTTCACGGAGCTTAGCGAGGATCACATTCAGCGCTGTGGGAAGTATGTGGTGGCCGTGGCCGCGGCCTACTACATCATCACCAGTTTCCGTAGCATCGTCCCCGCGGATGTGAAGTACGCGATTGAGGCCCACATGCCTCAGGGCTACGACCGCAGCCTAATCGCCGCCCGCCTTGAGCAGCGCCACACCAAACACCTCCTGATGAAGCACTTGCCGCTCGCCAAACTTCGCGAGGCGCTGCGACTTGAGACGGATCGGCAGGCGAAGTTGCGCCTATGGGACCAAACCCTGCACTTGAACCTGACGGGCCTCCTCGCCGCGAGCTACCTCCACAGCCTCACCATCACCTTGTTCACGCTGAAGAACACCGTCCGGGTGCTCATCTTCCTTCTGCGCCGCCGGGAGGAGGAGCGGGTCGGACGGACGGGCTTCGTCCCCGGGGCGATCTCGAAGCTCCGCGCGTGGTGGGTGAACGGAACGCGGGCGGTGATGATGGAGAAGGTGGTGCAGCTCATGAGCCGCCGCCTCGGGCAGGCGACCTCGCCCTTCGCGGAGGGTGGGCTCGACGAGGAGACGGCGACGTCGTGGGAACGGACGGCGGCAGAAGGGGGGGGAGAAAGGGAGGGGGCGGGGGAGAGGGAGAGGGGAAAGGACCTCACGGGCCTCGAGGGCGACGGCTTTTCCGTCCGGGGCGTCCTCCGCGTTGCGGGACCCCGACTCCTTGCGTCGGCGCAGCGCGTTGTCGCGGAGATCGTGGAGAGCCGCCCGAGTCATTTCTTTGGCGCCGCGAACCTTGTGACGCGGAGGGAACTGCAGGGGCTGTTTCGTGACCTCGCGGCGGGGATGGAGCGGCGGGTGGGGGTCGCCGCGTGGACAGGGGGGGGGTTGCCCGCGTCGCCCGTCGCCGAGGCCGACGGTGTAAGTGGGGGAGGGGCCTTCCGAACCCCCAACGAGGACGGCGAGGCCGACGACGTGGTCGAGTTCCCTGCCGGGTCGACCGCGATGCTTGGGCACGATGGCAAAGTCATGTATCCGCGCGCGGGCGCCCCGCATGGCCGTTGCAGCGCAACCTTCAGCCGTGATGGCAACCCCGAGGATGCTTCATACGAACCGCTGGGTCGGCAATATAGTGTTGGTGCCGTCGACTTTCCGTGCTCTTCGGCATCCATGGACGCTGGGGAGACGTCGATGGACACCCTCCATCAAGAGCGAGAGGTCAAAGCACAAAGTACAGGCTTTTTTCAAGAACTGCTCTGCAGCATCAGCGTTGAGGAGCTGGTCCTTGATCACGCCGCGGAGGTGCTCAATCGGAGCTTCAGACAAATATTGGAGAACCTGTCGAATGTGAAGTCCTACGATGAGGTAACAGACTCCGTCAAAATGCTCATGTTTATTGCGGCACTGGAAGCACCTCGTCAGCGGTTGTATGATGCCGAGTTTGACATTAAGTCCTACTTGAAGTTGTTTTGTGAGGAAACTGTGCGCTCAACCTGTTCCCAGTAAAAAAAAAGGAAAAGAAAATAACAATAACGATGAAGCCTCCCGAAAAAAAAATTGTCCGGGACTTGTATTTTAGTGCCATAGTTGGAGGATGCTGTTTCCTGTTATCGACACGTTTTCCTCCTTTCAGCCAGCGCCGCTGAGTAATAATATCTACATGTTGTGCATGTGATTCGATCAAGTGCTTAATTGTGCAGGGAAGCTTTTAGTATCTACGCGCGCGAAGAAAAATAATAAGTCTTTGATTCAAAAGAAGAATTAAAATACTCTGATGAAGTCTCGTTGAATTGCAAAGCGAGTTCACACTTGGAGGTTAGAAAGGAATGGTTGAATCACTCTTCCACGTACTGTCGTCACTGTTTGGGGATGCTAGATATCTCCAGGATAACGTAGTAGCAAGACCCAAGGACTCTTCATTTTTTTCACATTTTTTGTCTTTTTGTTTAGGAGACACGCACACACGTGCAAGTTTGACACTGCAGCACATTATTTAGCGAAACTTAAGTGAAGGCAATCTTAAGAGCAGCTTCTGTTCTCAGGCAGGGGAAAAGTGCAGCCATTTGTGCTTATTATCCCTTGATTTACTTATTCAATGAACGACAATCAGGATGTGTGGGAGGGTCTTCGCAACGAGGCTCGCCAGGCAGATAAGGCCCTGGAGCGGCAACTAGCAGCGCTAGAATTCCTTGCCGGCCTTATTAGGAACGATACACAGATAGCTGCTTCGCCTTCGTCACTGAACATGGAAGCGATAGAATTTTCTAACAAGTCTCACAGTCATACGCAACACGAAGGGGAATTTAGAGATCCCACAACTAACACAGTAACGGACACGAGACCTACCCTAGCTAAACTCCAACAGCGATTCGATGAAGCATCTTGCGAAGTTGAGAGTGGACTACGAAACCTGGAGCGAATTCTGGTTTCAATGGAGCGGGCGAGTTCTCGCAACCTACATTTTTCGAAGCACACCGAGCGCTTCCAAAGCATTCTCCTTGAGAAGCGTCGTTTGTTACAACACATTGTTAATGACTTCAGGCGACGCAAAGAGCGGCTCGAGTTGCTGTCTGGCGTTGCTGAAAGACCAGATAGGTACGAAGAAGAGTCCGGAGTACAGCTTTTGATTAAGGAGCAGAATGCAATTCGCCATACAGCCGCTCACGTGGATGAGATTGTGGCCCAAACAGCTGCCACGCAAATCCGCCTGCGAGCGCAGCGAGAAACGTTTGCCAACGTTGGAGGAAAGCTATTGCAGATCGCGGAGCGTGTGCCGATGATTAAGAACCTGCTCTCTCGCATTAACACTCGGAGGCGGCGCGAAGCGGTGGTATTGGGCAGCTTCATATCCATTTGCTTGTTTGTCATCGTTCTTTTTCTATAATGGTGTGGTAAAAAAAGTAGCAGCATTTCAAGTGGTAAAAAGTAATCGCTGTATAGTGTATTCGTTTTTACGTATTTTTTTTATTGAAGTGGAGATCATGATCTCTTTAGTCCTTTTTTCTTGTGTATTATTGTCAAGCATATATATATTATTTTTGTTGATTTGGCGTAAACTCACATTCATTGAGGTTATATCTAACAATACAAATGTAAGACGTGCCATTTTCCGTTTGAATTTTACGGAGATATTCAATAGACTCTCATTTAGAGAGTAAATAAAAGTTCAGTTTAATATTTGGTGGTTTGCACTATTGATGCGTGTTTGAGGGTTCAATTATGTTGGTTTCCATCTGTGATTACCTCCTGGAATCCTGCTTTAGTTCTCTTTACAAGGGCATCTAAGTATGTAACAAGTAATTAAAAAGAACATATTTATTTTCTCTCTTGCGGGGGGAGGGGGGCCGATGGGGCCCGACGACCCCTAGATTCGTGTTTTTTCTGTCGTAAGTTATTGGATTGTTAGGATGGGATGCCATCATGAAATTATTCCGAACAATACTGAGAAAGATGCGTCTGTGCCGTTGTTGGGAAGTTGGGACGCGAGACCGTTACCAGTGAACTAGTTATGGCTCTTTTCTTTGTTGCAGCAAAGTCTCAGGGTCCGTATCCTCATACGCTTGCCTTTGGATTTTGCAATACAACGCCTTTTCGTTCATTCGATCTGTCTCTTATTTTTCAGCACATTTCATCATTTTTTCACAGGTACCTTCACTATGCACCTTAGGATTGACCAAGTTCGATTTCTTTTGTTTTCTCCTGCAACTAAAACCTTTTGGAAAGGTCCACCAGGGGAAGACAATTAACAGTTTTTATTCTTTACTTTTTTTCTGTATTTCTAATTTATTTTAGCCATTTACTTGCGTGAAAATTAATAACATGTCGTAGATGTATCGATTTCTTTTCGTTTCATATAGTTTCATTTCCTGAATAGCACCAAAAAAGTCCTCAGATGTACCGTTCACTAAATTTGTTTCACCAATACCTCAGTGTACTGCTGTTTTAAATTTTAATCAGCTGCGCTCTAAAGAGATGCTGTAAGATATATGGAATACTAATGCTATTATGTTATTTCATCCTTCACGTTAGATGATATGATCGCAAAATTCAAAGGAAAATTATGGAAGACCTCCTGTTGCAGAGCAACGGCATCGCAAAGTTACTGTAACTATGCGAAGACTCGTTAAGAAACACATTAGTAACACCACAACAGACCTGTTTATCGTCGAAAGGGGTGTATCCGCAAGCAACACAAGCCATAATCATTTGAGACACATTTAAGTGGAATCATCGAGTACTGCTAAGAGGGCCAGTGTCGAACGGTGGCCTTTACCCCAGTGTGGAGTAGTCAAGCGAATTTCAAGTTCACTGGAAGTTTATTGACTTGCCTCATCAGCATCTAGGTTCTTCTCCCGGCCCATTTACGACTTCAATTGCCACGACTATCACAACTTTGGCTCTTTTCTAAGGATATCTACTTCGCCAGTTCCATCCTCAGAGACAAAGTCCCGCTCCCAAGCATTCAGGTGTCGTTAAACAGAACCCAGCGCGTTACCACACAAAGCCTTCACCAGTGGTAGTAAAGATTGAAGGTACTACAAGCGTCGAAAGGGTCCTAGAGAGGGAAGTGATTAGGCATGATCGTGCGGAGGGTCGAGGTGATACGATCATTGTCTGTTTCTTTTTCTATAAAAGTGTTAACTAAATATTTTCCAATACCATGCGACGCATCACGGACACTGGGAGTTCTTTTACAAGGGGTACAAATTTCCAGAGGAATAGTATCACTGATAGTCTAAATGTGGGTATGTAGAAATGAACTCGTTCTATGATGAGAAAGATAAGGAGCAGGGGGTGCAGCAATATATATGTGTGTGGAGTGCCGCCTTCGATAGAAAGCGATATGAACTGGATAGCATCAAGGGCATCTGTATCGAAACTGACACTCGTATTTACGCGCTGGGGAGCTACCAATAGGGATCTTGATGTGGAAGGTAACAAAGAACGGATGATGAGAGAGTATAGAGGAGGCTAGGGACACTGTATGCCAAAGAATCTACTGTAAACAGTCCGGCGACGGCTTACTCTGGCTTGTCTGTGGGGACCTGTAATCATGTAGTCGTGAATACGGTGGCTTTCGTACTGGCTAACCAGTCCCTGTCCCACTATGGTATCCCAAGTCCCAGTTTGGTGTCGAAACAAACTGGATCAGGATCATCCGCACAACTTGTACCGCCCATAGCGATGGTATCTCATCAAATACCATCGGCTTGCTGTGCTTTAAGCCTTTAAGACGCATTTTTTCCAAATTTATCCAGTTTAGTGTGGCGAGTTGACGGCTTGGTTTTCGCCGAACGATTTGAGTTTCTTCAATTGATGGTCTACCAGAACCCGTTGCAAAGTCATGACCACTCTTATCAAATGACCTCTCTGTAGAACAGCAGCGCAAGCATCCCATTGACATTCGGATGTCAGGTGATAAGGTGCGCCAAGTTTGCGACCTGGGTGAATCGCTGCAGACCATAGCTTAACTTCTCTCCTTTTTCTTCTGTGCCGCTGGCCGCGCTAGCATTTTCTCGTTGTCCATTACTAAAAGGGAGGCGTTTCGGTGGATAGTGGGGCAGCAATACGTAATTGAGGTGATTTTGCATTGCTGTGCATGGGATGAAACAGATAAGGACAGAAACACCTCTTCTCTGAGCCTTCATAATATGTTTCTGAGGGTCTCGAATGGCTCGCTTGTGCTTACCTACACACATCTATACCATCCATCAGGCCGCGCAGTACATCTTGCAGTCCTACCCTCAATGTGATGTCTTCAAAATCTTTGAGAGTTTGTGGAGTGCACAGGTACCACTGATACTGGAGACCTTGGCCCCATATCTCTAGCGCATCTTTCCGATTCTAGTTGATGACCTCATCATTTCCATAGGTTCTGAGGGTGGAAACTTGCAGTGTGTAAAAAGTGTGATAGGGCCACTTTTCCCTCGAGATGTGGCTTGAGCCAGGCCCGGATGACCATAACAGGATCTGATTTCGCTTCTTTATCTCAGACACTAAAAGAGGCTGTACTCTGCGGTTCCGTTAGCGGAATACTGCTCTGCACGTCAAGTATGTCGCTCGATACCGACGTCATGTCATTGCACCGGTAGCTTCAGTGAGGTGAGCTGGGCTATGGTCGAAAACTGTGGCTTCCGTATGGTGCACGTCGACGACGGTGACAATGGTTTTCGTTCGGCGCCGTTCCTTGCAACTTGAAGAATTCAATTCAGGTGGTCTTCTGTGTATCATACACTTATGCGAACTTACTGTGCCGCATCTGCCACTGGCACGCGTTGTTTAGGAGCGTGATGTATTATATGAGTTTCGAGGAGTGGATCCTCTGCTGTGGCTCAGAGGGGAGCAAGCTACATTTGTTTGTCGAAATTAGCTCTTCTTCAGAGATTAGGATCATTTTAAGAATCCATGCCTCGAGTTTGTGGCAGCGGGGGAAGTTACGCAAGAATAGGAATTCAGTGAAGCATCCTTGACTTTGTCGGAGTGCGGCTTCGATACTCAAGCAGAGGGCCAATGGCACCAGCAGCCCCGTCATATATGGGCGATATGCAAGCCTCAATCCTGTGGAGAAAGTCGTTATTATCAGCTGTCGTCTTCATCTTGATGGGTTCACCGTCTCGCATGCAGTCCACAGCCTCATTTTTTTTCTTAATTTCCAATGAGCCACGTGCCCTGGAGCCCCGCAAACATTTTCTATCTTTCTGCTCATGATGAACCAGGATGGCATGAGCCATGGTAGTTTTCACTTCGGCTCATATGACATGAACCTCAACCGTTGCTATAACAATCCAAGCCCCGAGGCCAAACCTATGGCTTGCGCGTTGCGAAAGCTGTTTGAGCATTTACAAGATGTCTTTCCTGAGCGCCTCATAATGCGCCTGGACTTCTACTTCCACGCATCCCAATCAATCGGCTTTGTGTTCGACAACTATTTGCTACTGTCGGTTCAGTACTAGAATACGGTTTTACGTAAGATTGCCAGGTACACGTGTGACTGATCTTTTCCTTTAATTTATGTTGATTTAGGAGGTTACATATGGTCACGAAGGATGACACAGTCTATGTGTTTTTCGTTATTGACCTTATTTGCAGCCACACTGTCGAGTTTCCATACTTCAGGGATTCTACTATGTATGCGGATACCTAAATTAGCATGAACAGCAGTGTCTTGGCTCTATTCAACGATGTAGGGCCCGGAATAATCAGAAGATATGCACTGGCAGCTCGAGGCGGTCAGCCACCATAGATGCACCGTAAAGTAAATTTACCAACTAGCTGCTAAGGTAAGACGAACAGTTCTCACAGTTGAGGCAGTCCCGAAGCAAAGTAACTGGCGGGGACAGAGCGTTGATTGATCAGATGATTAAAGGTCTCATAGGTTGCTTCTTTTGTTCTTCGACTCGGGCGTCTGGGCACCACATTCAGCCCCAAGATGCGAACATGAATCAATCACTACCGTTCTATGGCGTCGATGCATCAAGCATTCTCTGTCTGTGTGTATCTATTCGTCAAACCTGCTTGATTGCATTCCCAAACTAATGCCCTTTTAGGTTTCGATCTTGGAATCGACTAAAGCCACATAGCGCGATGGAACGCGTGCTGTTCGAAATGAAGCTTCATCTTAGGTGCGATGTATTACTAGTTCTTATCACCACCTGTAGCGGCTTTTACTGCCATAGATCTCGTTTTCAAGCAATCCTAATGCTAGAAGATAAGCTGACACGTAATCTATAGATCTTGACAAAGCAATTGTATTGAGTATGGAATTCATTACGGGTTAATTACTCCTAATTACCTTTACTATCTATCTAATTTATTTTCTTCTTTCACAAGGCAATGAGAGACAATTCTTACCGTTATCGTGCAGTGTTAAGGTTCTTGTATGAAAGTTGTGTTAGGGATGGAGGGGGGCTTCTCTACCCCCTAAATACACCAATGAAGCAACGCTGTTTTCGAGCAGTATAGTGTTCTACACACACTTGCATAATCCATATCTAATCGTTCTACTTGAAGAAAATGACCTCAAATATGTGGTGTGTGTTTGTATTATCCTCTTGAAAATCCTTTCATACCTATGGAGTTCCTCGCATAACACTCCTCGGTGGTAGAATAGAAAGGAGTGTGACACGACCAAATATTATGGATGAATTTTTCAATTATTGTGAAATACATTTCTATTTCTTTATATAGCTAGATAATTCTTATTTTTCTTGCTATAAAATAGATTATAATATAGAAGGAAAGACGAAATAATTATGAGTAGCTTAAATCGAAAGGACCTCGAGCATTGCCTACCCACGGAAGATAAAAATGAGTCATCGAGTGGCCACATGGCCGAAGCCACTGAACCCATTGATACATCACAAACGTTAGTCCTAAATGAGGAGTCCAATCCAAGGGATCAATCGAAGGAAAATCTCGAAGCTGAGGGAGTCTCCGAGGAGATCAGCGATTGTGACGATGAAGGAGATATTCTGAACGACTTTCACTTTGGATGCGACGAGGAAGCGGTGGAGGCACGACAGGAGGGTCTCAAGGCCTATAACGAGTGCCGCTACTCCGATGCCTTGGATCAACAATACCGCGTGGTCCGCTACTTCTCTCAGAAGTACGGGGCCACCGCTCCTCAATGTGGTGTGTATTTTCTAGACTATGCATTATCCCAGTTGCGGCTCCTACAGTCCCAGAGCACCATGGAGGATGCCCTGAAACCGCGCGATGAGGAGGCGATGGAGGCGTGTTTCATCAATCTTGAAGTTGCCCGTGTAGCCTTTCAGAAAAAGGAGAGAGAGAATGATAACGATGACGTGGCTACGGAGCTGTTTCTTGCTGAAGTCCATAATGCTCTGGCACAGCTTAACATAGAAAAGGAAGACTACGATGCCGCCTTGCGTGAATACGAGGCGGAGCTGCTTATTTACCGTTCTTTGCAAATCCAAAATCTGGACGCGGTACCCGCTGGCCGTGTTGTGAGTGCGCTCTATGGCATTGCAGATTGTTTTGCTAAGGAGGGTGACTTTGCTGGTGCGGAGGAGCGTTTTCAAATCACCCTAAACGAGATCGCTAAGTACCCTACTGGTACAATATCGGTTGAGCTGATAGACGACATAAAGGACATGCTTGATGATGCGCGCGACATGAAGGATGGGCGATTTAACAAGATTCAAGAGCAGATCCAGCAACAATTTGCGGCAGATGCGGAACAGATGCCGACTGCTCATGAGTTCTATGAGGTTGGCAACTATGAGAAACATCCTTTCTTAAGCTCTGTGCCAGGTGGTGCAGCAGAGCTGAATGCAGAGAGTCTATCAATGCCTATTTCAGCAACCGGGCAGGTGCTCGGGATGAATGATCACAGCAATAGCCAGTCCATCTCACTTTTTCCAGCTCAAAGTAGCAGGAGTGGACCTTCTTTGGCTACCACGGGACCAGTGAGGCATGTGACGGTGCGCAAGAAACCCAAAAATGTCACTCCAGCGGCTTCCGCACCGATCCCTACTGAAGGTCCCATAGAAGGATTTGAGGCCAAGAGACTTCGAACCGAATCCTAAAGTAAGAATTTGAGGTTATGAACGTGAGTAGCGGCAAACTATAGATTACGTATATATATATATATATATATATATATATATATA